CAACATCATAACATCATATTAATTAACTTATATCTTTACAACTTAATCATTTTTTAACATACATACCAATCTTTAACTTAACAACAACAATAAACACAATATTTTATACACAACAACTTTACAACTTTTAACTTTAACAACTATCAACTTCCATCTTACAACATATACATCATCACATTCGATATCAACATACAACCTTCTATATTTTCAACATATCATTTCATCACACATCTCCAACAAATTAGCATTGTACAATTATTATATCCTTTTTCATCTATAAATCAACTTAAAACATCATACAACATGTATCAACATACAATTCATCAAAATCAACTATCATATAATGACAACCTTCATATAACACAATATAATTGAGGTTCCACTAATCTAATCAAACTCATATTTATCTCATATGAAAATCAAAAGATTATCTACAACTATTATGAAGACTTCAAGTTCTAACTCCATCATTTACCTTACTAAAAATCACAAAAATCGCAACAAAAGATTTGTCGCTCATCACCTAAATCTCTTTGAATCCAATGCTTAACACCAGGAGTAATGCTCAACACCTAAATCTTTGTAAGTCTAATGCTCATCACCAAGAGTAATGCTCAACCCCTAATTCCTTGCAAGCCCAATGCTTAACACCAAGAGCAATGCTTAACACGTAAATTTCTACGAGTCCAATGCTCAGCACCGGAACACGAATAATCATTATGTCTTCAACTCCAAAAAATCATATTCACACATGGAACTTAGAAATCAACCACATGCAACATCAAATTTCATATATAGGCAACATTAACAACTCATTCCCAACCAAAAACAACACATGCATCCATCAAGGTATCAAGATGATCCACTTTTGCTCAACTCACTCAAGAAAACATCAAAAACCCCAAATCTGCTTTGTGATGCTCAACTTAGCCACCAACAAATCCAACAATACAACATGAGGTTAGGCATTTCGAAAAGCATCAATCAACATGCATACCACACATAAATAATGCAAGTTTCCCTTACCTTGTTGACGATTTGGAACCAACAAGAGGAATAGAGAAAACAACAAGCTTCATACAACTACAATAGAGATCCTCAAGTACACCAACTCAAAATCCTCACCACCATGCCTTTGATCAATTATAAGGAAAGAAGAAAAAAACTTCTCAACTACGAAAGAATAATAAAGGGGAGGTTCACTTAGAGAAATCTCTCTTTCTATATTTCAAAAACTTGAGTTATGAACTCAAAACTTAAAAAGAACCCTTTTATATTTTTCTTTAGTTGACCCAATCTAACACACAACACAACTCCTATAAAATAAACACATCAAAATATGAGTATTAAAGTAAGCACCACACAATATTTTTTATACTATCGTTCAATTGAAAATCACCTTATATAATAAAATTTATTAACTTTTACAAAATGTACTTAAAAGTTAGGCATACAATAACTTGTGATTGGTTGACATTATAAATCATGCTTTGCACAATCGCCCCAAAATAGAAGTGATAAAGTGGACTATCACTTGTGTCAACCCACCAATCTGCTAAAAATTAGCAAAATAGGTTAAACATTTCAATCTGTCATCCCACCCGACCTACCTAACCCGTCGAGCCAAACTGCAAGACAAGGTAAGTTGGCCTACCGACCCATTTAATTCTTAATTGTTTATTTATTTTATAAATTATAATAATTCTTCTAGCATCTAATATTCTTAAAATGAAATGTGAGGATGAATTTATAATTTATCATATTTGACATTTTAATTTTATTTATGTTTAATTTCAAAGATGCTATAGATTATAATTTTTAAATTTAAAATATAGTTATTTTTCAAAATAATGGGATAAGAAAAATTCTTTTGGACTAACCATAATAAATTATAAATATACTTTAAATCATTTGTCTATATTTTCTAATTTGGATTAGAATTAAAATAAAAGTCTTAAATTTCTTAATTTTTTTATAAAATTTTTGTGAGTCGACATGTTAATTCACCACTCTACTCTTAAGTGGGTTGAACTAAAATTTTTGATTTTTTTTTTTCTATTTAAGTAATATATGTTCTTAATAGATTTCTTTAGGTCAAAAAGCCAAGATTTTTGATTCATCACATAAAACCTATCTTGTCCCATTTTTTTAAGTTCAATGGCAAAAATTTTAATCATTCACCATACATTATTCATAATTATATCACTTGAATTATGTTTTATTTATCTTAAAAGTTTAATTTTTTTATTTATAAATTAATAATTTATTTTATATATTTTGGGGCTAAAACACAAGTTTTGAATTTTGAAGACTAAAAACATAATTGAACATTTATTATATATATATTTTTTCAAATTTATAATAAAATATAATTTAAAAAAAATATCTTAAAACTAGTAATGAATAAAATGTTTAACAAGACTTGCACTTGGTAAATCTATCAAAAGTAATAAAATATGTATATTAACAACATTAAAATAAGTTTCCAACACAATGACAAGTAAGTTTATCAATAAAGTAAATTACATATAAAATAAATTTTATAAAAAAAATAATAAAACAAATTATGATACAATTACAAATAAGTCTTGAAAAATAAATTAATCATAAACAAAACTCATAAGTCACAATGGCAATAGATAAAACTGAAGACAAAAGTTAACTAACTTATAATGAGTCAACTCAATAGATAAATGTAACAAACCAATCTAATACAACTAGTTATTTAACTTGTTCAGTTGATAAGTTGGAGAATTAAAAAATATAATCTAATTTAATATATTTTGACGAGTTACATTATTAATGTGATGGGTTAAAATCATGTTGACATAGTCTTTATATTTCTCTACACATTTTTAATAATAAATATCACTCCCAACTCGATTGTTTGTTTTTGACGTATATTATGTTGTTTGAAATCATATTCTTAAAAATATTTTGATCAGAATGTTATTCTTACATATATTTAGAAAATATATTTTGTTATATTTTAATATTTCTTGAAATGTTTTCAGAATTTAAATAATTGAAATAAAAAAATAATTAAAAAAAGAGATTTACAAGTTTTTTAGGAATAATTTTTATATTCCTATAAAAATATCAGCCTCTCAGACTCTCAACAAAAATAATAATAAAAAATAGTAAAAAGACATTTATAAATATAAAAAGAGTTATTCACTTATACACTTTCATTGTAAAATTTTTTTACACTGGCAACCAATTATATTTTTTAATTATGTCATGTCACTGTAAACATATTTACTCTTAAAACAGTGACATGACACAATTAAAAGATAGAGTTAATCACTTATACACTGCCAGTGTAAAGTTTTTTTTATACTGACAACCAATTATATCTTTTAATTGAGTCATGTCACTTTAAACACATTTACTTTTATCAGTAACATAATTAAATGATATAATTGATTACCAGTGTAAAAAAACTTTACACTGACAGTGTTTAGATGATTAACTTTAAAAGATATAATTGATTGCCAGTTTAAAAATTTTTCACTGACAGTGTATAGGTGATTAACTCATATAAAAAATACTTAATAATAATATTTTAAAGTTTGTAACAAACATATTACATAGAAATATTATATTTTCAACTTCATATTCCTAGAATTAATTTTTAATTAGTGAAAGAAACGCCGTCCTATTTATTTATATTCGCTTCGTCATTCACCATCACGGTGTTCTTTGACTTCTATGTTCTTAATCAATTCCGTTAAGAACCGTATAGAAAGTGCAATATATAGTCATCTACCAAGAAATAAAAGATAAAGTGAAGAGGAAGAGTTTTATTTTGAAACCACAAACTAGGCATGACCAATCCAACTTGGAGACTAACACAACATTTTATATTTCTACATAGCAATTTGTGGTCAACAGGTCAAACGTAATTAATTCTGGCGAAGGATACATTTGCTTCTTACTAAAGTAAAAATAAAAATAATATTGTAATTTGTTAACAACTCGAGAGCCACGAATTGCACGATATTGACGTGGAATAACATTTTAAATTAAATATTAATAATTAATACACAAGGATTGATCTCACGCAAGAATATTGATTGCCTTCAGACTGTTACCCTATTGTTTGGTTACAACGAAATTAAAAAAGGAAAAAGAGGGAATAAAAGAATGAATTGTATCTTTCTTTGTTTGATTTACAAATAAATGGATAGGAATATGAATTCAATTTTTTTAAAGTAACGTCTTAAATGCAAATTTTGCGAACGAAAAATTATTTAGTAATTTCTATGGTAAAAATAATTAATTTGATATAGATTAAACAAATTGTTAAATGTATTTAATGTTCATAATTTTGTATAAAATATATATTGTATTTATTAAAGTATCTTTAATCATATTTATTATAGATAGTATTATCTTTTATTATTTTATAGGTATTCTTAGATTAAAAATATTAAATAAAGTTGACTTTGAAAAAAAATTGTTTATATTTAAGTTAAAAAATTTAAATATTATTTTATTTATATATAGGTTCAAAGTAATTAGTTTCAAACTACAAATATTTATAGTATTAATTAATCAGTATATAACATGTATTTAAGTTTTTTAATTTATGAGAAAACTTAACTGACATTTTAATTATATGTCATATAAAAATAAGTTAAGAATCATGAGATCTATGATCATTTATTAATTTTTTGTTGTATATAAATAAAATTTATTTATGATTTAAAATGGATATTTAAATAAAAGTGGCCAAATAGAATCTTTAATAAAAGTTAATTATTTGTGGGTGGTAGGCGGTAGCTACCCTATACTTATAATAATTATATAAAAAATAACTTTGTCTACACATAAAATTATTATTGAATATTTATGTGATTTCATTTATATAAAGACGGGATTAATTTGAATGAAGGTCTGAAAAAGAAAATAATAAATATAATAAATAAGAAGAGAGTAAAAATTTTGTTAGAGTGTATGATGTGATTGACATGATTTGCGGGCAGCGGAAAGTCTAGGAGGAAATTTTATTGTATTAATAATTAGTTAACATTTGTCGTTTGTTATTTTTATAAATATAGTGAAGAAGGTGGGCGATGAAGTGGTTGTTAGTTTAGTTGTGATCCGAAAGAGGGTAGAGTAGAGGGATGGGTAGCTTGCAGGGAAACGAGGAAGATGGCAATAATCTGAGCCAAGTTCTCTTGCCAACACAAGAAGAAGACCAGGAACAAGGATTCACCCACAAACTTTGGCGCGAAACCAAGAGTCTATGGCTTATCGTGGGCCCCTCCATCTTCAGCCGCATCGCAGCATTCACCATGAACGTTGTCACGCAAGCCTTCGCCGGTCACTTGGGCGACGTCGAACTCGCCGCCATTTCTATCGCCAACACCGTCATCGTTGGCTTCAACTTCGGCCTCCTAGTAAGTCCGATTAATTATTAATTTTAAAAATAATGAATTAATTAATGGTGTTGCGAATTAATGAATTAGTTGGGGATGGCGAGCGCGTTGGAGACACTGTGCGGGCAAGCGTTTGGGGCGAAGAGGTATCACATGTTGGGAATATACATGCAGAGGTCGTGGATCGTTTTGTTCCTGTGCTGCTTCCTGCTGTTGCCGTTTTACGTTTTGGCAACACCGATTCTGAAGGTGCTGGGACAGCCTGATGACGTGGCGGAGTGGAGCGGTGTGATGGCGGTGTGGCTCATTCCTCTGCACTTCAGTTTCGCCTTTCAGTTCCCTCTGCAGAGGTTCCTGCAGTGCCAGCTGAAAACCGCGGTTATTGCTTGGGTTTCCTTGCTGGGCCTGCTCGTCAACGTTCTCACCAGCTGGCTTTTCATTTATGTCTGGGATTTTGGGCTTTATGGGGCCGCTGTTAGTTTGGACATTTCCTGGTGGGTCCTCGTCTTCGGCATGTACGCCTACACTGCCTGGGGTGGATGTCCGTTAACTTGGACCGGTTTTTCCGTTCAAGCCTTTTCCGGACTCTGGGAATTCTTCAAACTCTCTTCCGCTTCTGGAGTCATGTTGTGGTCTCTCTTCCTCTTACTCTCACCATTCATTTCTCTATTTCTTTACTTCTTCAACCCAAATATGTTATTCCACTTTATCTCTTTCTAATTAATGATAACCACTTTATTCAACTAACAAAACCCACACCTTCATTAATATCTTACCGGATTTACCTAATTATCCCTTCATGCAGCTTAGAGAACTGGTACTATTGGATATTGGTGCTTATGACTGGTCAATTGGAGAATGCAACTATCGCTGTGGATGCCTTGTCTGTATGGTAAGTTTTTTTTTTTTTTTTTTTATTTATTTTTTTTTATACCTGCTAGTTTGCCTTTATTATGAGTTTTATTTATTTTTTACATATATTATAAAAATTATTTTCCCCCATTTTACGTCTTGAAATTGCATTTAATTTACAGGTTATGTTTTAAAAGGGAAAATGAAAAGGTTAAATTAAAATAAATATATATATATTTTTCAAAGGAGGGGCTGCCCCTTAAAGAAAAAATGTGACGTAGTTTTTGTGATTTTGAAACTGTTTGGCTGTGTTTTGCAGTATGACCATCAACGGGTGGGAAATGATGGTTCCCCTGGCTTTCTTTGCGGGTGCGGGGTACGTTCTTGATCTCTCCTTTCCTCTTTTGCTAATTATGCATTTGCTTTATTTTAAAGGAACACGTGTTTCTTTTTCTTTCTTTTTAGTTTACACTTTCTCCCCTTGACTAGTGCCTTTTATTGTACAATAGATTGAAATTAAAACTAAAACTCTACTAAAGATTAAGAAAGTAAAAGTAAAACTAAAGACCTGTGGCTAATCTGTCCCCCCAGCTGGCATTCCATCTTCATCTTAATTCTCTACATGCAAAATTTACTGTATATTGCTAGTCATAACAATCATTACTTCCCTCGTACATTTTTTATCCTATTTTAATTTTTGTTATGTTTGCTTGAAAAGATTATTTATTTAGAGTTTAGGGTTTAAAGATTAAATATTTGTACCTTAAAAAGTTTACCTTTTAAACTAAATCATCTTTACTTTTTGTTAATATCCTATTTTATTTAATAAAAATATCAAGACTTAAAAATAAAATTCAAAATAATTAGTGTCGGTAAAACATTTTTTTCTTAAAAGGAATACTAGTACTGCTCTAAAAGTAATGAAATATATTTTCTATATTAAGATTTGGCAGTAAAAAATATCGTGTAAAAACACTTTTCCTGTCGGTATTAGAAAATATTTTACTTAATGAGTTCCAGATTCCTCACCTGCGAGGGAGTTTTTATGTTACTCTCAAAAATTAGAATGTAAACTCATAAAAATCTAAAAAAAGGAATACTAATTTAATTATAAAATAAATAATTCAAATTATATTTATAAAATAAAAATTAAAATAAAATTATAGAGATTTAAATTATAAGATTCCAATAATATTATAAAATATTAAAAAGGAAAAGAATTAATAAATAATAGAAATAAAAAAATTATTATAATATAGAAATTAAAAAATTTAAGATAAAAATACAAAAAAAATATACTTAAAAATTATTAAAATTAAATTATTTAAATATATAATAATATTATT